GGACATGTCCCAGCTTAGAGGATCTCCTGACCTCTTACAGGAGGCAGAAAGGAGGGGGGCTCGCATCTCTCAGCCTGGTGGTCAGTGTGCAAACACGCTTGGTGGGAGGCCGGCGAGCCTGCTGGGCTGTAGACAGTCCCGAGCGTGGGAGCCAGCATTGGACTGGAAGCCAGAGCCTGTGGGAGCCGAGGCAGGAATTGTCAGAGGAATGGACTTGTGACGATTCCAAGGGAAGCACATGCCAAAGCACAGTCTGAGCGACAGGTCGTTCTACAGCTGAGACCCGGAGGCTCAGGGAGGGGTGGCTGGCCCAAGTCCGCACCGCTCCCCAGCGCAGCCCAGACCAACCTGGGCGCCCAGACCACGCTGTCACGAGAACCTGGTCCATTACTGCCTTTCTTCCTGGTCCAGTAGACCCTCAGGAAGAGGCCGGTTAAATGTAAGTTACAAGGACGTTGCACCAGGCAGAGTTTATGAACACCTTTAAAAAGCAGACACACCGACTCTTCCTTTCTCTGTGCATCTTTGGAAAAACAAAGGCCTTTGTGTAATTTCTTGGAATTAGATTAATTGAATTAGCCTGTGTGTTGCTTTCTTGGTCATTACAACAACTATCTTAATTAAAAATTTTCTCTTTTAGCTGAAAATATTCCATGGTACATTAAAACATGAAGTAGGAAATTTAGGAAAGGAATTAATTTCATACTAAGCTCAATAAAAGCAATGAAAATCTGTAAATAAGCACATGTTCTTAATTTCCACTGCTTTTACTCCAGTACTCAGGTGTGAAGTGTCTCGCCATTCCTCTGTAGTCAGTGGCGCCATCCTGAGTCTTATGCGCAGGTGCAGGGCCTTGGGACACTGTGGACCGTGTGCTTTCAGAACCCAGACATGCCAGATCCTGATCTGTGGAGTCACATTACTGGGGGACTCATCACAGGGACAGTGGTTGGAAGCTAGTTGGTGCCACTTGTTTTTCTTTCATTTGTGTTTATTTGTGTGCATATCTTTCACTTATCAAGAATATTTTAATTTTGCTTACTGTACCATTCCAGAGATTAAGAAGATATTTTGGGCAAATGTGTATAACTCTGGAGTTGAAGGAAGAATCCTTAGCAAATCCACTGTAATTAGCATCCCTGGCTGCAGTCTCCTGCCCTGTAAGATCTAGATGAGAGGAGCTCCAGCCCTCAGGCGATGAAATCTCTGCAGGTCCCCAGAGGAGGGCGCAGGTGCTGTCTGGTCACCTCCCTCCACACCCCCTCTGTTGTACTGGTTCACCTGTAGGTCATCCCCTGTGCCCTGCGAGGGGCCTGGATGTCAACTCGGCGTCTTCACCACCTCCTCCTCTCTCCTTAGCCTCCACCTATGTTTCCTGTATGGGACCAGGTAAGAGTGTGCCGTTGGGAGGTGCCAGCGAGAGAGGCCCAAGCAAGGCCGGGAGGTGAGAGAGGAGGCGAAGCCGTTATAGGCGGACATGAGGGCAGATGGTGCATACCTGGCAGCAGGGCGTTAATACCAGCCCTGCCTGGGGGCCCCGCCCTGGAGTTTCTGGAGGTTTGTTGGGGCTTCTTCATCCTCTGCTCCAAAAACCCCTCCATCTGCTTCCCTTTATCAACACCCTTTCTGCTTGGGTTCCTGAGCAGACCCTGTGATGCTGTGTGGGATGTAATGACCCAGATGTGAACACAGCCCATCCCGAGTCCCCGCCGCTTGTTCCCCCCTGGGCTTTGCTTATGGAGTTTCCAGCCCCTTGGTTGTCTCCCCTGAGCTCCCAGGGCTGTTCACTTGCCTTTTCCATTATCAGACACTCAGCTGTTCTCTGAAAGCCCCAACTGTCTCTGCAGTCCTGTAATCCTTGCACCAGCTCCCCCGAATGGCACCAGCCTCAGCGCTGCAGCAGCAGTGACTCCCCGAGTGGCCTTGGGTTTCCCCTAACATGCTGAGGGGACTCTCTGACTAAAGGAAGAATGGGCGACCTTTTAGCTGAGTAACTGGAACGCATTGGGGTTGGCCCCATTGGTGTCAGCCTTCCTGGGACGGAGTCACAGGTGTGTGGATGGAGACATAGTGTGGCCCATTGCCCAGTCCTGTTGGTTCTGGGTTTGCCCCTCAGCGGCCACCCTGAGGAGAGAACCAGCCCTTAGCCCAGCTGCTTCCACCTTGGCCTTCTGGGGCAGCACAGACTCTGGGTGTCACAGACTGAAAAGTACCGTGGTCGTTTGTTGCTGGAAGTTTCGAGGACTCGAAGAAAATGCTAAACCTTCATGGGATAGAGAGCGTTGAGCAACTGTATTGCTTCCTGAAAGGAGTCGGCTTTTTATAAGACTTGACTGTGAGGTTCCTGGGAACCTTACCAGAAATTTCTTGGCAAAATTAGACATTTCCAGGGGAAAAAAAAGACGAAGAGCTAGATAGTTTCTGTCTGATTACCCAGTAATACTGTATAGCAGCTGCCCAGTAATAAAACTTCCTTCCTAAAGGGGCTATACATATAGACAGCTGTAAACCTGAACATCACTGAGCAAATCAAGCTGCAGTGGACCAGCCCAGGCCCTGGGGTGGCCTTTAATGCTGGACAGGTGCCTCCAGGGCCCCCCACCCCGACCCCAAATGACCTTCTTGGTCTCTCTGAAGGGTTTTGAGCCTTAATTTTCCTTCCCCTGGTGTAAAATCACAATTCCTACTCCCAGTTGAGCATGTCTGTTGGTACACCCCTCGCACCTCTGGTGATTTAAGGACAAGCTCTCACAAACCACACAGCTGGGTTTGTTTTGTGATTGAATCTGAAGATCTTTTTCTTTAGTAGTGAGCTCACATTTATTAATAATATCTACGGTGCGTCTAGTTCTTATATATTTGTACTGCACTTCTTGTATTTACTGTGTATATTTGGTCTGTTTGCTCTCAAAATTTGTTGTATTCATGACTTTGGCATTTAGGGTGGCTCATGTTTTTGTGACTGCATTTAACACTAATACCTTCGTAGGATTCCTTGAATCCCTCTTTTCCTTACCTCGGCTTCCACTGTCTCGTTTCCAGCTTTGATGGCACCCTGGCACCTCCCCACCTCTCCCCCAGGCAGCATTCATGAGCCCCTCCCCTGCTCTCTCCCTTCTCTGAGTTTGAAGGTTGGGTTATTTCTGTAATGTCAGAGTGAACGATAGCATACGATTGGCCCCTTCTGTTCCCACTCTGTGTCAGCCTTAGATCGGCCCACTGATGTTCTCCGTGCCTTCCCTCAGTCCTCCGGCTGACAGTTCCCATCTCTCCGCTGGATAAGGCTGCTCTCCAGCAGATTAGATGCTGACTTCCTCCTCTCTCCTCAGGTGTTTCTCTCCTTCCTGTCTCTGCCTCTTTTCCTCACTACCTTCTAGTCGTTTCTTTGGGCTCTTCTCAGGTTCCTCCTCCTTGGTGGTCCAGGCCTCTTCCTGACTTTCTGTTCCTTCTCCCTCTGCCCATCCTCAGTCTCTGTGGAGGCTCCTGCTCTGCTCTCTTGTCTCCCTTGGGTGCCCCCCTCCATGTTACTGCTAGACCCTTTCAGAGTACTCAGGGGTCAGGGCCTTTGTCAGCTGACACCCACTGGAAGGCTGGGGGGCCATTGTGCCACTGGCTGGTTTTGACACCCCAGGTTCAGGCTGCCATGGTCCGCGGGCCTGAGGAGAGCTGGAGGCCCAGTGCTGTCCCTCTACAGCTGCCTGGAGGCCCCGTGGTGGGGGAGGGAGAGGGGGGCGGGAGCTACAAGCAAAGAGAGAAAGTGAGATCAGAGTGGAGGGCAGACCCCCCAGCGAGAAAGCTGTCGGCACCACAGCACAAGGTGCGTGTAGGACAGGGGGTCCGGGAAAATCAGCTGTCACCCTCATTGCTCTCATGAGTGACCAGATCCAGGAGGGGCCCCGGATGTTTTTCTTTCTTTTCTTTTTTTCTTTTCTTACTGTAGTAAACACACTATTTTCTTTCTAATTTTGAGACTCCTGATATATACAGTAGGAATATGTAGTCCTGACATGCTCTTGGTCCTCAAATAAAAACCTGGGGGATGAATGAAACTTCATACCAAATTCGGTTTATCTCATGCCCTGCTTTTCTCTCTCCTTTTCTTTGTCCTGGGGTCAGAATGGGCCCCTGCAATGAGGCAAAGGGCGGAGGGCTCAGCTCACAGGACTGTCCTAGTACAGCCGTCTGCCCAAGCAGGGGGTTCTTTATGCATTTCACAGAAGGTCTCCCTCCACTTCAAGTAAATCCACACATAAAAACGAAATTTAAGCCAAGGATAACAAATGCTTAAGCGTGTGATGCTAGTCAGGTGATCGGTCTCTGCATGTGTTGTTTGTCACGGGCTTCCTCACAGCTCTGCATGTGTACTTGTTTCCTTTATTTTCCAGCGAGCTTATTTTTTCAGAGACTGGAGAGCCCTAGGAGCTCCTTCTGTCCACGTGAGGCTAGACCCTGACACATACTACAGGGACCCAGCTCAGGGTAGCTTGCATCAAGTGGGAGCAAAGCACACAAAACCTTTGTTGACATGTTGGAGTTGTTTTCTTTTTTCCCAAGAGCCACCATGTTAATGGCTCCTTTTCCAGAAAGGATGACCTCAGTGTTTTTCATGTATTTATATTTAAAAATCAACTCAGATCAAAACCCTGCAGAGGTTTTCATTCATTACTTAGATCAGCATTTCCAAGAGTTTTCCTAAAAAAAAAAAAAAAGAAAAGAAAAAAAAGAAATTGATATGCAAATTGGGACCTTGTATAGCATGGTAAATGATTCCATAATTGAGTCTATTTGGAGAGTTTCTGTATAAACACAGTAATTACTTTCTGTACCATGGGAGTTGGCAGAGCCCTTACTAGGCTAACGGTGCGTTAAGGGATGCAGTGGCACTTCCTCGTGACCACCAGCCCTGGAGGTGACTGCAGGGCACGGGGTGGGGTTGTCCCCACCAGGAGGCCCAGTACTCACTTGGACCACCTGCAGCCCCTGCTCCATTCCTTGGGAACCTAGGGGCTGCCCTGGCGCTCCCGACTCCAGACCCAGTGATGTGGGTTCTGGGCCTGGATCTGAAAGGGAAGCACAGCAGGGTGAGTGCCTGGAGGAGGGGTCCAGCCCCACCACCTCTGGGGTGAGCTCCCCGGCCCTCATCCCCAACAGACCTCCTCACACAAGTCCGGGGTGACCCAGGCTCGGTGCTCCATCGCATGGAAGAATTCCACCTTCAACTTGAGGAACTCCTTGTAGAGGTCTGGCCAGTGCTTCCTGCCCAGCAGGAACTGGAAGATGCTCTGCTTGGATGTGGGGTCGTCCTCCTCCATGTCGGAGGCAATGTAGCTGCCATCAGAAAAGAGGGCTAGCTGGTCCCGGCCCCCACAAGGACTCAGGCGAGACAGTGGAGAGAGGCTGCTGAGGTCACCCTGGAGGAGCACCCGGGTCCACAGAGGGCAGGACTGTCCTCAGCACCAAGGCTGCTGGGCCCGTGCTGTGCCCGGCCCAGGTCAAGGTTCTGGCTGTCGCCATTTCCCTGGGACTTTCTACCTCGGGTCCCTCAGTCTCTGGGCAGCAAATGGTGTTTCCTGGCTATGTTCATTATCCCAGGACCTTCCTCCTTGCCTTCCCCTGCTCTGACCATGTGACCCCTTGAGGGCCTTGAACCACCACTGGGGGCCCTCAGGCATTGCTCACAGGGCCAGGAAGAAGTGGATCCTGTTGTAGAGATGACCAGGCAGCCCGACACGGCCGAAGTACTCCACCACCATGGAGAGCAGGTACTGTGTGGAGACGGGGCGGGGGAGGGGCGGCCAGGGGTCGATGGCAGGGCCAGTGTCCTGAGTGGGCCATGCGCCCCGCCCCCATCCAGAGGCCAGGTGGGAAAACCACCCAGGTGGGCCTTGCTAAGGGTCTCATGGCCCTTTGACATGTGGAGATGAGCTGACGGGAGGCCAGGGAGGAGATGCCCAAGGGCCGGGGCACCGGCAGTGTGTCCTTTCTTCCCTTCTGGCACCAAGGGCGGGTCTCTCCAGGGCCTCTGCTCAGGCAGACACCTTGTCCTCCGTCCCCACCCCCAGGGGGTGGTGACACTGCAGACCCCTTGGTCCCTCATAATTTTAGTGCTGTGAGTACCTTGTCAGACACTTTCAGGAAAATATCAGCTTCCAGGAAGCTCTGGATAACAGGGTCCTCTGTAAAGGAAGGGAGACGTGATGAGGGCCTTGGAGCAGCCCTTCTGGGAGCAGCGAGCCTGGGGCTGTGGGACATTTCACAGGGAGGAGGGGAACTGGAAACTTCTCCCAGTTCCTCTGTTTCAGGAAGCAGAGGCAGCTCTCTTCCCCCAGGAAGGCTCAGAGCCTTAACAGTGACAAAGCTGTTCCTTCCATTGACCCAGGGAGAGTGAGTCTCAACTGTGGGGCAGGGATTTTGCTATTGTTATTTAATCTTCAACACATGGGTGGGTATGTGTGTTTCATAAAGAGATATGACCTGGTTCTCAAAGTTTAACATAACTTTCCTCGAGCCAAAGCTTGGATGTGGCCTTGGGCCTCTGGGCGCTACATCCCTGTCACTTCATCATACTGTGACTGTGCAACGCTTTCCTGCCCTACCTGATAACTGAGCATCCTATGTGGGCAGTGGAGAGTTCATACCCCCCTGGGTGGGGGGGACACTGGGCATTCTACCCTCCTTCTCCTGGACCCCCTTCGTTTCCTG